GGATGTGGCTGGCCAACCTCCTATGTCACATTGGTGTTTGGTTTGGTATCTTAGGCCCCACTGAAAGGAACATGCGAAAATTTTCAACAACCTAACTTTGACGTACACTTTAATTAAATGTGATGCTTGATTAGGTTAACATCACGAAATATCGAACTTGATCTTATCTAAAAATTTGAATATCTAAAAATTTCATATATTGAAAAATAATTTTAAATTTTGTGATTTAATGTAACTTATACTATATTTTTAATATGTTATTTTATATATTTAATTACTCACACAATAAAGAATTAAATATCCTAATTTTTATTGGGTTAAAGTTTTAATGAGTTAATGGGTTACTCATTAGTGGGCTAAAGGTATCTAAAATACAATTGTCCAATTTTTTCGGATTTTCAGATAATCCGAAATTAAAATATTTTCCGATCCGATTATCCAAATTTTTTTCGGATATTCAAATTTTCGAATTAGATCACCGGATCTAATCTTTTTGTACACCCCTAAATCGAGGGCTGATTATATATATATATATATATGTTACTCCTTAAGTTTGTAATAAAACTTTTAAAATTTATATTTATTTACATAAAATTTTTATGTTAGTTGCCAGATTTCAAAATTAATAGCAAAACATTGTTGTTTTGTAGGGTTATGGAATGACAGAAGCTGGACCAGTTCTAGCAATGTGCTTAGGATTCGCCAAGGAACCCTTCGAAATAAAATCCGGGGCCTGTGGTACTGTTGTAAGGAACGCCGAGATGAAAATCGTCAACCCCGACACCGGTTCATCACTTCCGCGAAACCAGGCCGGAGAGATTTGCATCCGAGGTGATCAAATCATGAAAGGTATGCTACTTAATTTACCAACAAGGAAAAACATCATGAACAAAGTTAGCTGAATGTGTTTTTGTTGCAGGATACCTTAATGACCCTGAGGCCACAGCTAGGACCATAGACAAAGACGGCTGGTTACACACAGGGGACATCGGTTACATCGACGATGACGAGGAGCTCTTCATCGTCGATCGATTGAAAGAATTGATCAAATACAAAGGGTTCCAGGTAGCACCCGCCGAGCTCGAAGCAATGCTCATCGCTCACTCCGATATCATCGATGCCGCCGTCGTCGCGTAAGTGTCGAACAACACCATCGATGTTTCTACGGTATATCGAAATCCGGGCTCTTCAATTTAACTATGATATGTGATTGCAGCATGAAGGATGAGGCAGCAGGGGAAGTTCCGGTGGCATTCGTGGTGAGATCGGAGAAATCGCAGATCAGCGAGGATGAAATCAAGCAGTACATTTCGAAGCAGGTGGTGTTCTACAAGAGAATAAACCGTGTGTTCTTCATCGAAACCATCCCAAAGGCGCCATCGGGGAAGATCTTGAGAAAGGAATTGAGAGCTAAACTGGCTACTGGAAACCACTGATTTGACGTTTCTGCAATTTGAAAAATAATATACGATGGGTGCAAGCACTAAATGGGAACTGTTCATATATGTTCCTTAAAAAATATCTGGAAATTTATACAAGATTGTAAATTGTGAGATAAACATTTCCATCTGCTGAATGGGATGTAATGACTAATATCTTTGTTTTTCATTTTTCATGTTTTTTCTTTCAGTCCTTGTACTCTTCGGACTTTTAAGATTTAGCCCCTCTACTTTTATATCTTCAAATATCAAAATGAGGATTATTATAAATTTAGATTTAATAATGTTGGCAAATTGTTTCCTACTTCTTTATTTGTGGATTAGCTTATCCATATACTATAAAAATATCATTATTTCTGTAATTAATCAGCTAACCTTTCAAATTCTTTATCTTGTTTTCTGAAATCTATTTGTTTCCGGATAAGAAGTTTACAGGGGTATATTAAGGTGCTTTAAGAAAGACTTAAACTCAGCAGATTAACGACATTTTGGTCCCCCGACAAAATGGAATAGTTTTGAATCAGAAAAGTGGCATTCACTTTCCAGGATAGGCAATTCATGTGCTCACAAAGAATCTCTTCTAGGATGGCAAACACAATTTCGTAGATTTCGTACCGTACTCTCTCCAATTAGGCGGGGATGTGTATAACTTTGTAGGTAGAGGCGGGTGTGGATTTAGAAAGTGATACTCATCGCGAGTAGTGGGCGGGTGATGGGTTTGAGACCTTACCCGCCCCACATCTGCCCACCCCGCATTTGTCCACCCCACATCTGCCTGCCTACTAAATACCCATTAAATTTTAGATCATTATGAATTTAGGTATAATTTTAGAGACTAATTTATAAATCTTAATATTGTATAAGATATAACTTTTAATCATTGGTTTATTTTATTATGCTTATTAATGGACGTGTTTGTTTTATGTTTGTTGCTTATGTATAACTTAAGGTTGTCGTCAGGCAGGTCTAACCAATACATCTCCAGTTGGGTAGTGGTGTGTGGATGGATTTGAGAAAGCATCCGCGTGGGTGGGTTTAATTAGAAAAAATTTACCCATTATGATGATGGGCGGGTGTGAATTTAAAAATATTAAGTGGATATAAGGATAGGAGAAGAGTATCTACACTCGCCAAGCGCGATTGCCATCCCTACCCTCTTCCATTAAATTATCATATCCACTTTCCCACGCAATATGTGTTGCACTGGTAAATTTGTTGTGTGAAATACGAGTAACTTAAACAAGGCATTAAGTTTTGATACTTGTCATAAATTTTGGGATAAATTACTTGTTTAATACTTAAACTATTAATTTTGATATGTTTTAGTACTTAAATTTTCAATTTTTTCAAAATCATACCTAAAGTTAGTTTTTGTTTCTTTTTAGTTCCCCACCATAAAAAACTTTAGATTTTGTTTTATTTTAATCTCTCTTTCAAAAGTTAACGTTAATCTTTAAAAAATTGAAATTTTATGTACTAAAACGACCAAAATTGATATTTTAGGTACTAAACGCGTTAACTTTTTAACGGTTGAGTACTAAAATAAAATAAAAACCAAACATAGGTATGATTTAAAAAAAATGAAAATTTACTTACTAAAACATACCAAAATTAATAGTTTAGGCACTAAATGTGTAATTAACCATAAATTTTGACTAGGTGGTGGGTACGTCATTTATATATTTTTGTACAAATTATTATTGTTGTGGTTATTAATAATCGAGTTAATTGTATTATACATCTCAAACTATAATCTTCATTTTTAAATTAGTCTTTAAATTTTTTAATTATTATATTTTCTTCCCTAAATTATGAATCTCATTATAAATAAGTCCTTAAACTTTTAAATATTTTAATTTCACCTCTAAACCATGATCCTCTTTCTAAATTGGTCCCCAAACTTTTGAATATTCCAATTTCATCCACAAATTCATCCAAATATGTAATTAGTTTCAACATAATTTAACCTATTTTTTTTCAAATTATAATAAAATAGCTTGGCCTAACGATTTTATTAATAAGGGGTGTGATTAGTATATACATGTAGTTTGTTATGAAACTGGAATGTTCAAAAAGTCAGGGACCAATTTAGAATGAAGATCATAGTTTAGGAATAAAATTGAAATGTTTAAAAGTTTGAGGACTAATTTAAAATGATAGTTATAGTTTATGGACTAATTTAAAATGAGGGTCATACTTTGAGTACATGTGATGCAATTAACTCTTAATAATCGGATATGTTGTTATTATCAGAATATGTGATTTTTTCGTTTCGATTCATTAATAATGTTTAGGGTAAACTACATAAATGACCACGTAACTATGGGCCATGTCACGAAATAACCACCACTTCAAATTTGTGACAATAATACCACTGACCTATTTAAAAGGGTTCAAAATAACCACATGACGTTAACATTTAACGAAGGTGTTTATGTGGCAGTTAAAAAATTAGTATAATTAGGGTGTAGGTCATTGTAAAGTTACATATTTGCGATGCTGGCACCCTTCTTTGTTTTCTTCCATTTGGTCACTACTTGTATATGATTTGTTTCCTTAGATTTTCATTTAATCCAATTTAATCCTGATTTTATTTTAATTTGTCTAATACCTTAATTTAACATTAACTTTAAAATCTTTTATTCTAGTCATGTATTAAATTTGTAGATTAAATCCCCTAGATTTTAGAATTAATCAATTTGATCACGAAGATTAACTTTAATTCTTAATTTTTAATTAGGTCATAATTTCAATTTAATTTAATAAATTTATTTCTCCAATCAAATTGTGACACATGTCGTAATCTTATGATTATAATTTGAATATTAACTATAATATATAATATATTTTTTAATATGAATTATAATATATATATATATTATAATTTGAATATTAAACTATTTTTAATGATTTCATATATATAATCATTAAAAAATAAATACGAAAAAAATAAATTTAGTTTAAAAATATGAAAATCTTAAATCAATTATTTTAGTGTTGATTGTCAACGGTTGATATTCATTGTTCTTCTTTTAGTATTTTATTATATTGTATCTCTTTTTTTAAATAACTTTACCTCTATAACTTGTTTTTCTTTATCTTTATGGCATGTTTCTCTTTGTCTTTTGGCACGTTTTCGACCGTTATTTTTGTTTATTCTTTTCTTAAGGTTAGGTTTGACAATGTCACGACTGATCAAGATGACATTTATTTGTTATCATGTTGATATTCTATGCTTTGAACCCTCTGATTGGATTTGGATACACGATTTGTAACATCCTCAATATCGAGTTAGTGATTAAATTGTAAAGTTTCAGAATTTGGTGATTAAAGTAGAATAATTGAAAAGTTCAATGACTTATTTGAGCTATATTGTGTAGGATCAATTTATAAAGAAGGAGGATTAGAAGGAAAAATTGTCTTTTTATAGCAAGATAATTATTTGGGTTAGTACTATATTAACCCACATGGAAGTATAGGAAACCAAAAATAAGTTTCCAGAGTTTCTTCTTCATCTTCTTCATACGTGAGACCCAAGCTAAAGGTAAGATCTCTTGTTAGTGAATTTATTGATGAATTTATGGTTGATTTATGACCATTAGACAATAGTTAAGCTTAAGGGAAGCTTAATTTGTTCTAGAACAACAAGATGATGGAGTTATGAATGATTAAAGTAAGGAAGTGAATAAGTGAAATCTTGATAGAAAGGTATTAATTAGATTTCAAGACTAAATTTAACTTGTCATTAGTGGAATTAAGGAATAGGAAGTGTTAGAATGGAATTATAACATGTTGGAAATTGAGTGTGATTCTTGAATGTCATATAAAAGATAGGATTTTGAGTTTAAGGAAGTGATTATTGAGTAGGAATGAGTGTAAGTATATGTATGCAAGTTAGGGATATTAAAGGAGGTGAAGTATGAATAGTTGAGCTGAAAAGAGAGTGATTTTCGTGCTCAAAATGACATTTCTGGGCTAGGGGTATCGGTACTCATTCAACAGGTACCGATACCCTCTTAAACGAAAAAGAATAACATAATGTAGGGAATGTACCAATACCCCAGTTGGGTACCGATACCCTCTTGAATGAAAAACTAACAGAATGCAATTAGGGTATCGATATCTAATATAGGGTACCGATACCTACCTTAATTAAAAGATGAAAGTAGTCTTTCTTTTGGTCTAAGAAGTGATAGATTAGATGATATCAATTAGAGTTCTTATATGGATCCATGTATGATTATGTAGAAACTAAACGTAATCTCGTTCCGGAATAATTGAAGGATTATGATCAATTCAAAACAACAAGGCTAAGGTGAGTGCATACTAGAGATGTAGTTCAAAGGAATTATGACTTATGATAAGTCTATTCCTATGATTAATAATTATAACATAATCATTATGAACATGAATACATTATAGTCTTTATTAAACATGCAGAAGTCATATATGTTGACATATGATTCGATACATGTTATATGATTTATGTGAATGTTCTCAATTCCTTATGTTACATGAATATGAGATTAATGGTTACATGATATGAGATTAATGGTGACATGTACATGGGAAAGGTGATAAAAGAAAAGATATATGTGATTACAAGGAAAGTGATACAAGTACATGGTTATATGAAATATAATATTAATGCCCATGTTATGTAATGTGAGAGCTATAAGTATAGTTGGCATGCCAAGAGTCGAAGGTTTTATAGGTCCTTCGGGACAACTCATAGGTCCTTTGGGACATATTCACAGGTCATTCGGGACAAATCTCATATGCCACTCAGTGGAACTTATACGAGCTGTGGTGACAGCAAATGTGCACAAGCTCTATGTACTCGAATACCTTAAGTTCTCAGTATATACATGGGCCTATAAATAATATGAAAAATGTGTGTCTTGCATTATAGGTTATCATATTAATGTTGTTCATAGCGAAGTATATAAATGAAATAGAATTGTGAATGATAATGATGATTGTATATGAATAACATGTCACATGTTCATATGCATAAGAAATACATTATTATAGATTTATGCCTCACTAAGTCTATGACTTAGCGTGTAAGTGATTTACACGTAGGTACAGAAAAGTAAAAAGACGGGTCTTAGGAGCAGCAAAGCAGCATATCATCATTTGAAGATCAGATCAGAAGCACCTTATATAGTATATCCGTTTATGTAATATATATATGTGTTGGCATGTAAATAGAGTCGTATAGTACTTAAGCTCTGGTCAAGTTGTATGTTTTGAACTTAATGATGTGATATAGTTTTTGATATTAATAAAAGTTTAAATTTACTATGATTTTTATAAATGTACAAGTTTTGAAAAGTCAATGTGACACATCAGATTCGTATTCGGGTCGATACGGTTGGGATGTTACAGTTAATGGAATCAGAGCTACGGTTTAGTTCTCGACATAAACTGAAGTCTAAAGTGTCTTAAAAAGTGCACATGTCAATATAGTAGTAAGAACTTCTGATCAGATAAGAGTAATGAGTATGTTGTTTAACTAATAGAGATATTTGGTTATGTCTTATTAGATGTCCAGACAAGATAGCTCCCGAAGTGAAGCAGGAGATGAGAGATTAGCTAAGAGCAGTAATTCACCTGCCCTGGCCAACAAGGTGAAGAACATGCACCTTTTAGAGTGCTTGTAACTGATCAGTATGTGTTCTTTAGGATGTTGGACGCGATATTGGTGCGTTTCCATCCTCTTGTTACTTCAACTCCGAGATTGACTGTTGCATAGGAGTTGAAGGGTTTAGGAGCTCTAGAGTTTCAAGGTGAAGCCGAAGAAGGCCCCGTTACTATGGACCTTTGGCTCAATGATGTGAAGATTATGTTAGAAGGACTCTACTGTTCTGATGTGGAGAAGCTTAACGGAGTAGTCTCCTTGCTTCATGGGCAATCGCGAATATGGTGGACAAATATCACATTAAGGATGAAAATGATCGTGTGACATGGTCTCTATTTCTAGAAAATTTCGGCACAATTATACAGGGGACCATTTCATCAAGAAAATGAAGCAGGAATTTCTAAACCTAAAGCACATGAACCACACGGTGTATGAATATGAGTGTGAGTTCAACAAACTAAGTCACTTTGTAGCGGCTGGTACATATAGAAAAAGATGCATGCGAGTGGTTTGTGGAGGGCTTACGCCCGAGCCTGAAAGAGATGTTGATTGTGTTGAATTTTCCTCATTCCAAGAAGTAGTAAACTATTCCAAAACTCTAAAGAGAGCCCAGAATGAGTGGTTTGGGGAGCAAAATCCAACCATCCAAAATAACTGAAGCTTCATCGAGTTCTGTACCACCCAAGAAAGGTAGAGATTTGAGCTTTCGATCTCAAGCAAGGTCAGAATCGGTGGCATCCTCTGCTAGAGGATCAAATTATGAGTGTTAGACAGACTCAATCTGTAGGGTCTGGTGAAGGGCAAGCACAACAGAGTCAAGTTAGACAGTGTCTAATTTGTGGGAGAAATCATAGTGACATATGCAGAGTTAAAACAGGAGCTTGTTTTCGATGTAGGGAAACAGAGCATTTATATGAGAGATTGTCCTCTGAGAGCCGAAGAGCCTGCTCAACCAGAAAGATCTGCTTCAATGTCTCAGAGGGGAAGAGGTAGAGGAGAAAGAAATCTGATAGAATCTGCTACTCAACATGAGGTTCGATCCACTGCTCGAGTGTATAACCTCAAAACTAATAAAGACTGGGATGATCCAGAAATTATAACAGATACCTTTTTATTGTTGGATAAATGTGTTATGGTATTGATTGATCCGGGGTCTACATATTCATACATTAATAGTAAGTTGGTAAAAAGAATTGAAGATCCCATTAGAAGACACCAGTAATGAAGTTATAGTTACAAATTCGTTAGAGCATAGTGCTCGGGTTAATAGAAGGTGTCGAGGGTGTCACATACGGATTCAGGGAATTGAATTTCCTGTTAATATGATGGAATTACCTTTTGAAGAATTTGAAGTGATACTGGGAATGGATTGGTTATACCGTTATCATGCAAATGTCGATTGTATATTAAAGAGGGTAACGCTAGTCAACTCAGATGGATTAAAAGTGTTAGTATTCAGTGAAGGATGAAATCCATTGGCAAATGTTATTTCTGTGATGTCAGCAAATAAGCTATTACTGCAGGGATGTCAGGGGTTTATTGCGAATGTGATGGATGTGAGAACTAAAGAGAAGGGGATTGAGGAAATTCCCATAGTTCGAGATTTTTCTGATGTATTTCCTGCAGAGTTACCTGGTTTGCCTCCGGATAGAGAGGTGGAATTCCAGATTAAAATAATGCCGGAAACTGTACCTATTATCATGGAACCATACAAAATGGCTCCAAAGGAGTTGCAAGAGTTAATGATATAATTACATGAGTTGTTAAATAAGAGATTTATAAGACCGAGGGTCTTGCCATGGGGAGCTCCAGTATTGTTCATCAAAAAGAATGATAGATCATTGCATCTCTGTATCGACTACAGATAACTCAATAAAGTAACTATTAAGAATAAGTATCATCTCCCTAGAATTGACGATTTATTTGATCAGTTAAAGGGAGCTTCGGTCTTCTCTAAGATTGACTTGCGATCGGGGATATCATCAACTAAAAGTTCAGGAGAAATATATTCCAAAAACCGCATTTAGAATAAGTTATGGCCACTATGAGTTTATTGTGATGACTTTCGGAGTTTCAAATGCACCAGCTGCTTTCATGGACTTGATGAATCGAATTTTTCAACCTTATTTGGACCAATTTGTAGTGGTGTTTATCGATGACATATTGGTGTATTCAAAGACAAATGAAAAGTATAGTGCATATTTGAAAATAGTCTTGCAAACTTTCGAGACAAAAAGTTATATGCCAAGCTATCCAAATGTGAGTTCTGGTTGAATGAAGTTATATTTCTCGGGCATGTGATTTCTATGGAAGGAATTCGAGTAGATCCTCAGAAAGTAAAAACTATCCTTGAATGGGACGTTCCCAAGAATGTATCTAAAGTTCAGAGTTTTCTGGACTTGCCGGTTATTATCGAAGGTTCGTTAAGAACTTTTCGATGATCGTTCTACCATTGACCAAGTTGATGAGAAAAGGTGTAACGTTTCTGTGGACCTCTGAATGTCAAGATAGTTTTGATATGTTGAAAAATATTTTGACAGAAGCTCCAGTATTAGTTCAACCGGAGTCTGGTAAAAACTACATAGTCTATAGTGACACGTCCCATAATGGCTTGGGATGTGTACTAATGCAAGAGGGTAAAGTAGTAGCGTATGCATCGAGGCAATTAAAACCGAACGAGAAGAATTATCCTACCCATGATCTGGAGATGGCTACAGTAGTGTTCGCTTTGAAAATCTGACGTCACTACTTATATGGTGAATGATGTTATTTGTATACATATCATAAGAGTTTGAAGTACATGATGACTCAAATGTTTGACTTGTCAGCAAGTCAAAGCTGAACATCAAGTTTCGTCCGGATTATTGCAACCCATGTCAATTCCTCAGTGGAAATGGGAGAATGTAACGATGTACTTTGTGATGAGGTTA